GTTTTGCAAGGAAAATCATTCACCAAAGCATCAGATGTTTATTCTTTTGGAATGATTATGTGGGAGATTTCTTCAGGGAGTCTTGTATTTTCCGACTATAAGGGTGATAGTTCGAACTTAGCTATAGAAATTTGTTTTAGCGGATTAAGGCCGGATATTCTGAAAGGCACAGCAACATGTTATGTAAATCTTTTAAGAATGTGTTGGGATAATGATCCAGAAAAACGACCGTCAGCTATGGAAATTTATGAAACCATTTTAAAATGGAAAAATAGTGATGTATTTTTATCCGAATTTTTAAAATCAGATAAAGAACTTGTAATAGAAAACAATAATAGCTTTAATAATGAGGAAGATAGTACGATTCATACTACTAATTTCATTAGTTATATTAACCAGCAGTCACTTGAACACATAACCGTTGATGAAATTAATTCCAATAATAATATTCATATTGAAGATAGTGAAAAGATTTAGAATCTATTAGATAAATTATGTATTTATTCCTTATTAAAAAGTAAATATACGTTATGAAACAATCATCTAAATGTAATAACTTTTGGATTAGTTATTTTTGTTGCACTACTAATAATTGATATATGTAACAGATGTTACAATTGCCGGTAAAAATATGTACTATATGCTTCTACCCATTAATCTTATTCTATGTCAAATGAAATTCTACGATTCATCTACACCCCAAATGTGTTTGTAAATTCAAATGTTATCTCCTATAAAATTGGCAAAACTTGCTATGTTACTGAAGTGAGGTAATCGTGATCTTGTTGCATCGTTTCAAATAAATTTACCGTAAATTTTCCATTCTTGTTATACAAAATTGGTAATCAAATATATTATCGCAACAATTTAAATTTGTATGAATGGTATTCCATGGAACAATAATGCTATAAAATTAAAACGAATGTAAGGTGCTGGACAAGCTATTTTTTATATCAAGGGTTGACTGTACATTGTATCTCCAGATCGTTTTACACATTAAATGGAAAAATATTATGGAAATCAGTTTCCCAATTAAAATCCATCCGATATAAGTGATAGAATGGATTAACTTGAATATCGTTATCTTTATGGAGTTGACATTGAAAAGATGAACATGAGGCAATTCTTTTATTATCAAAAAGCTGCAGATATGTAGTGATGCATTTGAAAAGGTTTGCGTTTTAAGAAAAATGTGTTAACAAAATTTCTACTCCGAATTTTTAGATATTGTAATAAATTTTAATTTACATCCTTGATTTTTAAAACAAATTGAGAGTAAATGCCAGAACGAGAAAGAGAGCCAAATAAGAGTCACAACAGAGACAACGAACAAAGTATGTACAGCTCATATAATAAGGCAACAACGACGATAGCGACGACGGCAACAGCGACGGTAATAGCGATGAAAGACAACGTCAGTGCTTGAAAAGAAGAGGCAAAATTAGATAAGGAAATAAGAAATAATGCAAAAGAAAAAAAATTTACCTAAATTAAAAAAAAGGAAAAAATTTGCGGCATCAACTTCTCAAGAATTCCAAGAAATATTATACATAAATACAATAGAGAAGCCTACTAAATTTAAAGGCCCTGTCTGTATGTATCGCTCATTTAGGCGAACCTTATTCAAGCACAAAGCTTAGAAAAATTTCAAAACTATAAAGAAAGCAATTTGAAGACAACACTTTACAAACGAGAAGTTGGAGGTATTATCACAAGATAGTAACTCAGTTGACTAGAACTGTTGAACTCGAAGGTGATACAACGAACAAAATAATGGACGGTACTGCTAAGAAGTGAGAACGCTTGGATAAACATTTATTGCGGTTTGCAAAATTAGCAGATCAAAAAAAAAAAAAAAAAAAAAAAAAAAAAAACGATTTCTGATTGCCAATTTCCTCAAATTACTTCTGATGACATATATATCAACTTATATAAAGATTTATACATATATATAAATAATTAACATACATTTTTTTCATTTCTAATGGCCAAAATTATTATCCCGGAACATGCTTTGGATGCATAAGGCCTTATGCTTTTACTTTGAAATTTTATGATTCTATCAGTAATAAACAAATTAATTTTCTAGAATCATGTAATAATTCTTATAAGATTGAATTGGGTGCAACTTTTAAATTTTCTTCTTGCTTATCATGCAATAGTAAATTTTATCGGGCTAGAAAAAAACAAAATTTAATATTACATAATCAAGTTCTTTACAACATGATGAATGAGCAAATTGTATTCTTACAAAAAATACTAAATCAAATATGTTGCAAAATAATGAATCAACAACTACTATTTCTGCAAAAAAATATTAAGTAACTGGAAATCAGAAATCATAAGTTTCTTTCTTTTTTTGATTTGCAAATTTCACATAATTTTGCAAACCGCAATAATAAAAATATGATTAAAAAGTTAGGAATGTAATTCAAAATGAGGCCTTATATTAATTCATTTGTAATTTTACAGCTGTTTTCGATTTAGTTGGATCGACGATCTGCATAAATTTAATGAAGGAATCAATCAGCTTCGTCATATTTCACAGAACTCATTTTAGAATCCATATATCCACAAAATACGACGAATATAAAGTGGTTTCTCGGGCTAAAAAAAAAAATTATGCAGACCGCAAGATTTTTAAAAAAGCAAATCAAATTTGAATGAATATAAAAAAAAGCGTAAAGAATAAAATGGTGATTGTTTTAGAAAAGTAAGAATTTAAAAATATAATTTACGGATATTAAAGATGATAGTAAGTAAACGAAATTGTAAACAATCGAAATTTTAATGTTCATGAGAAAGAGTATGGATATTTTTATATCACAAAAAAGTTTCAATCATATTTATATAAATCGTCCTTGTAATTATGTGTAGCTCTCGACCTTGAAAAGGCACCCACGCGATAAAACTCAGAATATAAGTGAAATATCATGACTAAGGTATTATCAAGCACCTCGCTCAATAGATTGGAATGAATTAAAAATATGGGACAAAGTATAGTATATATGAATAAATTTTTAGAGTATTTGTTTCTGCTTTTTTTAGGGTTGAATTGGTTAGAATTGATAAGTGTAATAAAACATCGATTTAGTTGGATCGACGACCTGCATAATTTTTTTTTGAGTCCCGTGAGTCCTGTGATTACAATACAAGTATCACTTCAACGTCGTCGTTATAATTTGTGGAACTCATTTTAAAATTCTTATATTTCCCTTATTTAATCAATAAATTTTTTAAAAAAATAATACAATATAAAGTAGTTAGCTGTCTTGTATTCACGGACTCTCAGGACTCAAAACAATTATGCAAATCGTCGATCCAACTAAAACGAAAAGAGCGATAAAAAAAACTTGCATGTCATTGAAGTAAGATAATACATGATCTTGGTATTTTTATCTTCCGTTATGAATTACTGAAAATTTCAATTCTTATTATTGTTCTACAGAATTGTTAATCAAATATATACTTATTATATCAACAACTTAAATTTGTGCGAGTGGTATTCCATGAACTGGTAATGCTATGAATTTAAGGTTCAGAATGGGCTATTTGTTATATCAAGAGTTGATTGTATGTCGTATCTCCAGATTGTTTTACATATCAAATAGAAAATGATTATGATAATCGATTTCTAATTAAAATTCAACGATATTGATAAAATGAATGACTTTGTCTGATTATTTCTTATTTAACTAAAGGTAATAAAAAATAATTACAATCGTATTAGTAGTGTATTAAATTTTTTTTATTTGTTGTAAAAAAAAGGTTCATAATAATCATTCTATAGAATTATAGATCTTTACTAATAACCAAGATAGGCACCTGGTATCAAAAACACAGAGTTCCCTTAAGTCAAGAAGTCCTCGTATAGAGGTATCTCTATTTTTGTCAAAAAAATAAATAAATAACATACCTTACGTAAATATAATCTTATTTAACTAAAGGTAATAAAAAATAATTACAATCATATTAGTAGTGTAATAAATTTTTTTTATTTGTAGTAAAAAAAAGTTCATAATAATCATTCTATAGAATTACAGATCTTTACTAATAACCAGATAAACAGCTGGCATCAAAACACAGAGTTCTCTTAAGACAAGAAGTCCTCATTTAGAGGTATCTCTATTTTGTCAAATAAAAAAAAAACATACCTTACGTATTCATAATCTGATTATTTTCTTATTTAACTAATAAAAAATAATTACAATCATATTATTATCACTTCCGTATTTGTCTAATTCTTTAAGTTGCACTATCATAGTCTTAACTTAGTAGTATTAGGCATTATGTATTCTTGGTGGCTTAATTTCTGCAAGTGCATCTACATTAAATTGATAGCATGAACGCTAAAATTATAGTGTCTATGCTCTAAGATATTGACATGTATATAAGTGCTTGCTCTTGCTCTTTAATGAATAAAAACCTTTTCTCTCCAAATTCTGCTATAAATAAAGATTATATAAATTCATATTCTTTTTATAACAAATGCCTAATAAATCATGAATATCCGAATACAATAATTTATTGTCCAAATCATGTGACCCTTCTAACATCAACCATCGGAGTTAAACCTGGCATGACAGTACCAAGCTCTTCCTTACGATGGTTACAGTAGTAAAAAAAAAGGTCATAATAATCATTCTATAGAATTATAAATCTTTACTAACAACCAGGATAAACACCTAGTATCAAAAACACAGAGTTTCTCTAAGACAAGAAGTCCTCATTTAGAGGTAGCTCTATTTTTGTCAAATAAAAAAAAAAAGCATACCTTAAAACACAAAGCTAAATTTTCGTTTTGCAAATATGGAATCTGAACTTGTGTAGGTCGGTCGGGTTTTTTGGGTGAACTGGATAAATTGGCGCTTTTTTTTTTTTTTAAAAAAAAAAATTAACAAATAGGTCTGACAGGTAATGCAAAACAAAAAATCAACATTGCGTAGCCTTACGTATTTATAATCTGATTACTTTCTTACTTAACTAAATATAATACAAGTAATTACTGTATTATTTAATAATAACCAAGAAAAACACCTTATCAAAAACACATCGTTTAGAGGTATCTCTATTTTTGCCAAATAAAAAAAACATACCTTACGTATTCATAATCTGATTACTTTCTTATTTAACTAATAAAAAGAATTATAATCATATTAGTAGTGTATTAAATTTTTTTTATTTGTTGTAAAAAAAGGGTTCATAATAATTATTCTATAGAATTATAGATCCAAAAACACAGAGTTCCCCTAAGACAAGAAGTCCTCATTTAGAGGTAGTCAGTATTGGAAATCTTATGTTCTCATGTTCTCATGAGAACATCACTTTTAATTTGAGAACATTTCCAAAATTTAAGATATTCTCTATAAAATTTTTGTTTGAAAAATATGTTTTCTATGTAAATATATAAAGTAATAAAAAACTATTTTTATTAATATAAGTAGCTGCATGACATTGTCATGCTAAACCTGGAATGGATGAATGTAGGCTTAATATAAAAAATTTTGGACAACCCCAATACAGAATAGTTATAAATAATTTTGAGTTCAGGTAAATACATAAATAACCAAATACAGCATAGCTATATTGATATAAGACGCTATAACAAGAAATTTCTTAAAATTTCAAGATTGATATAATATAGAGTGTAAAATACCTCTTAAAAACTTATTATACCAATTCAATATAATTTTCTAATGCTAACTCTAATAATACATAACGTCAAAACAGATATTAAAAATAGGGATATTTCATACCCATACTATATATCTGGTCATACTAATCTGCATAATTAAAAATGTTCTTGACAGATGATGATTATACAGACTATATAATGCAGATAAGAATAAACTCACAATGTGACCAACTATCTACCAAGTTTGTGTATAAGTATTATGCTTAGTTGAAGTGATTCTTACAGTAATTTTGCTGAAGATTCGTATCGCAAAATGCGGATAATAAATTTTGGCCAATCAAACTTTTTTTCATCGCAATAATGAACCCTCTTACACAGGTTGAAAGATAAAAAATCAGGCACAAATCAGGTACCTGATTTTAAACTGATTACTACCTGATTACTACCTAATTTATGCATATTTTTGTACCAAATTTTTGGTACAAAAATATGTATAAATCAGGTGCCAATTAGATAGTAATCAGTTTAAAATCAGGTACCTGATTTGTGCCTGATTTTTCATCTTTTGACCTGTGTTATAGTTAAACTAATTTTCACCAATTAAAATTGAGCTCCGACTATTGATTTATGTGCTTAAGAGTAGAGGCAGAATAGGATCACAAATTTGCGGGTTTTCTAATTTTCTGTGTTCAATTAAAAACCATATAAAAATTATTATTGAAAATCAAATTTATTGTTCTACCATAAATTTTCGAAATAGGGGTGTGGGCATTGTTTCAAATTTTGGCCCAAATTAAGCTTAATTCGGGTCAAAATTCAATATTTTGAGAATTTACGGTAAATATGTTAAAGCAGGTCAGATTTATATTAATGCCAGTTAGATAATATAGTAATACTGGCCAGATAATTTTATCTGAGATCATATTAAAAATCCTGTGCATCATGTGCGTGCCCATCTCTACTTGAGAGAACCTTAAATTAATATAAATAAAATCTAAACAAAAAATTAATTAATATATTGATTGATAATGTTTAATTGATTAAATAAGAAAACTTTTGAAGATATTTAATTGAAATGTCATGTAAAACCCGATATTATACGACTAAGGGTTTGTAGACCAATTTCAACCTATTTAAAGATTTTAGAGCTGTTAACGCTTAC